AAACATACATGGCTGGCCATTTGAGACCTGTCAAAGTAAATGACCTCGTTAAAGCGGACGGAGATCTGACTGACATGAAAAGTTATTCGTATAATTCAACCTCTGATCACATTTAATGCCTTTGTTGTCAAAACTGCATATGGCCAGATTGAAGTTCCAAGATTCAGATTGAGATGTTGCCAGTAACTGTTTCTAGGGCGCCAAGATCATCACCACCAAGTCCTGGTTTGCGTCTGTGTTTGAGGGCTTGCTGTTTGATGAATTTTTCGACCACCCGAATCCAAAAACCGGACTTTGTATAGACAGGTTTGCGTTTGTGAACGCTGATGACATCGATAACTGCATATGAAAATGAAAACACAATGAAAAAGTCTAAACTTAGTTCACAAATGTATAAAGGTAAGAAAAGCACGAAAAATATGACTACTCACACTTTCAACGATGGCATGAGAATAAAAACAAATTCATTTTGCAATGACATTTAGACATTCCGAAAGACATCATAAAGATACACTATTTCGTACAATTTTGTAACGTTGTGTGAAGAAATAAGGACGTGACACTTTTTTATACAATGTATACGTTTTTCGTAACCGCGACGTCTGCAAAGTACAGCGCTGAGCGGTATGCAGGCTGAATGACGTCCGCTGACCATATGACTATGATGGTTAATGACAAGGAAAGGTGCAACTAAACATTATTATTTCCAAATTTATCATTTCGGTGTGCACATCAGACAGTTCAGAATTCGAACTGTCTACTTTCAAGGAGATCAAGGGTAGCATAGAGTGTTACCTTAGCGACATGATTACCAGCATCTGGTTGAAGAAATCGATGCACTTTGCTGAACTCGGAGGTTTTGAAATCAAAACAAAAATAATTAAAAATACAAGGAAAGGTAAACTTACCCCAGCGAGCTGATCCTGTGTCCGATATTGAACTAAATTAACTCCGTAAATGCGGACAGCTTAGCACCAAATCTCCAGATACCGTGTTTGTCTATCAACAGGTATTCGACCATTATGAATCACATCAAAATATCAACAAACTCCCGTCATCTGACTGTGTCCACTCCGCGTTTGACAAATCCTCCTGAAATCCCACATGCACATGTTTCCCATCAGTGACACTTGTCTCAAATCACACACGATGTTCATTAAACTTGTTGTCCGGATTAAACTGTAACCGGTTCTCTTGTCATTCCTGGTTTCGGCTGTCTCATATCTGGGTCAAGTCGGGTCACTCATTCAAACACTGTGACAGCAATCGTACTTTTCAAAGTTTAGCTTCTTTTCGTAACTTTTCTCTAACAAACAAGACTTCTGTACATTCCTTCTATGTTGTTGTTATAGGTTTTGGCATTTTTGTCAAATGACACGTAAAAAAATTGACAGGTTTTCCTTGTTTCCTCTTCTCAATGTGAAATGCATGTATCCGCCGATGTACGACGGGGGCTGTCTGTCAGTGACGAGATATTGTCAAAACAAGCATTGATTAAAAAACCTGATGAACCTTTTTGGAAACCTGTCTTCTGTATCAATGCTAGATAGTGTACGCTGTGTAAATCGGACAGAAATATAACTGCAATATTGTGACCTTTACAATTTTGTAACAGAACTATATTTTTCACGCGTAACAACACGTTAATTGAGTAATGCGTTTGGAATGAGTGGACAGTGTTTTTTCACACGCGGATTGATACAAAACAGCTGATTCTTGATCGGCGACAGTTGATTGTTTTTTTCTTGAAACATGTCTTTAATATGAAAATGGGTAATAAATAGAATAACCAACGAGGTACGAATGATTACGGAAACTATGGCACTCGTGAAATTAATGTTTTAAGTTCCTCGCTAAAGCTCGGAACTTAAAACATTAATTTCACTCGTGGCATAGTTTCCGTAATCATTCGTACCTCGTTGGTTATTCTTTAAATGTGTAAATTGTGAGATACAGTAAAACCTTGTTAGTCCGAACCCCGTTAGTCCGCTCATATAGCCATAATGTAACAGGCCGAATGTTGACAATAATTCAACAAGATGTATTTGAAATTTTGTTTAAACAGTAAACAGGCATCATAGATAACATTGTTAGATTAAAATACGAGAACTAATACTAATTTATTTTTTGCGTTCCATTCCAGAAACTATTGACATACAAATGTCCTTACATTGATTGAAAAATGACATGGGGTTTGAAGCAAAAACAATGTGTAGTACTTAAATGGATCCATTTACACATGAAAATATAAAGTGACAGAGTTTGCTGAAAGCGAGGTGCTTGAAGATATGGCCGGAATCGAGTTAAAGTGGAGGTTTCTTATGACAAGGGAATCTGTTTTGTCGCTTTTATGTATACAATGTAATTAGAGATAATTAACTTTCTACTTGAAACATATGTAGTCCACAATTATGGATTAAAGCAAGATAAGAATTTTTGGGTACCTTGTGATATTTTGTATATATTTTGTTTTGACAGATATAAATTATTGTTCAGATTGCATTGTGTATTTGAATTTGGAGTTATTTGTATTAACACGCATTGTTTATAACCAGCAATGCAATATCAAGATATTTAACTGAGCAAAGCATCTAGTAAATTATGATCATATACACCTGATCACATCATTTGTATGGGTTCTTTCTTGTGAAATTAATATACTGTGAATAAAAATGATAGCGAGAAAACCCTTTCAATATTCATAAGAAATCTCTGCTTGAAGCAGTAGATTGTACGATTCCGACTATATCATTAGCATGTGTTTATGAATCACTATCAAATAGTGGACCTACAAACACAAACACAAGCAAAGGCAAGTAAATTGTTCACCTGAAATAAACCACGAGAACATGAGGTACATGTCAAAATAGGTAATTGCATTGGACATATTTTTGTCACTGATACTTCAAATTTGGAAATGTCTACCAAAACCGTTTTGAAAGCTTCAGTGAGCCCTTGAATGCTGTAACATTGTAACTTATAAGTAAGAGTTGTATAACGCTCTTTGAAATCCTCGAAGACAGAACATGTTTTATTGTATCTAAAAAGTTATGAAATGTAAACACCAAATGCTGGAGCTGCAAAGTATTTCAGACCTGTTCGTTTCTAGCCTCAAAGTAGATTTGATTTACACTGTAGAATAATATAGGCCAGTATACCGGTTAGCATATATCCTTTTCTCTACCAGGATAGAATCAAATGTGTAGTAGCTGGTACTTGACATCCTCTGTAATTTATCCGGCTTTTTACAAAAGTAACATATCTGGTATCTTCCTCATTATAAATATTCATATTTTGTTGTTATTAGTAAGCCACATGTTCAGCATAACCAGTGGTTTAATATCTTTATACTGCAATAGCTGAAAGACACATCCGAGATTATTTAGGAGAAGGGGTAGCGATGCTTCTTTGTAATTGTTAGATACTCATGAGCAAAATATATCAAATTGTTCGTCTTTATTTCAAATTTAAATTTATTAATGTTTTTGTCGCTAGCATTGTGGAGTTTTGACCATTATCAGGTGAGGAATGGGATTAACTGAATGTAGTCAAATCACCTTATCTTACCACAATTACTGAAGCCGAACTGATTGTAGACGAAATAAACTGTTGTTGAAAGAAGGCTCAACCGTGTTCGGGTGACAGTTGGAGTTAAAATAAGAGTATTTTTTAGAGTGGTTTGGCTTTCTGCAGAGAGTGGTTTGGATTGTCATCCATTAATTATCTTGTCTTGACAGTTATTAACCAGCTACTAACAATGCAAGTCACAGTTTAGATAAAGGAAATCGATTTTCCCAGTGACGTCGAAGACGAGAGACAAACTCGGCCATTGTAACTCAGCTCTCCTGGCTAAACTTTGCTATGGATGAGGCCAATATATTTGTTCTATTCTTTTGGTCACGAGTAAAGAAACTATTCCAATACAAACATCGATACATAGACCCTAACCTAGTGTTAGCATGACAAATCATAAGCAATCATGAATTTGTATTGCATAAAAACATTAAGCCATAGAGAAATAGATGGCCCTATAGCTAAGACTTGAATAGGTCCGTAGATCACCACATTTACCTAAGTGTAATTTGACTTATGTCTCCCAACTATGATTCGAGATTGGTCTTACGATCGAGTAAAATGGATTACAGAAAAATGTATACCTTTTTGTTTTACATCATGTGTTGTTTTATGTCTTTGACGACATCGCAGAAAGACGACATTGATAGATTAATATGTCTCACCCAATTTTCGTCGATTGTCTTGCAAATCACGAGTTTTACCCTTTTCAGACACAACATCGCGTATTATACTTGGACAAAAGGCGCACATAGATTAAATACGCAAAAGAATATTTAAAAACAAACGAACACATTCATGATATTGGGTGTTTATCTACTCATTATTGTGTTGTTGATTGTCGTCATTTGGCCTCCGAATCATACAATGAAAGATGCTAAAAAATCCTTTTGCATGGAATTATCAGGGTAATCGTATACACTCTCATATATAATTATTGATATATTTCTTATTATTCTTATACAAATAAAGTGAACAGATAAATTTTACGTGATATCAATATTTAAATGGTTAAAACAATAAATTATGTTATCCACAAGCGAGAGGAGTAATTCCTTAATCGTTTGTGACATACGCGCACTTGATGAATTCTGAGACTTCAGTCTGCTGTCAATCCGACGACCTTTTTTTTTAAATCCTTCTACAAATATGTGCATGTATATTTTATAAATATAGTATCTATTTTAAAAAAGTGTTATGTTCAGTTTTACATATAAGATAAAATGAAATGGGTGTTCATTAACAATATTGAATATAACACTCTGAAGGAAATATTTTGCAGTTACATTTACTTTTCTTCTTCTAACAATCGACTAAAGGTAAGAAATGTGGTACATGACATTACATGTGCCGATTTCTTATGACAAGTGGAAAACATATTATAGTGTATTGTACATATTGTATTTATTTTTCATGTTAAATTTCAGAAGTGGATTACGGAGCTAACTGTACTGAGATTACAGACTGTATTACCAGCAATGCAATTTGTAATGGATCCGGCACATGTGCATGTAATGACACTCACTACTACGACACAGCCAACGACAAATGCACTGAGAGTAATGTGGATTTCAGATCTTACTGTTAAACCTCTGAGTAGATTTGATTACAACTTTGACCTAGTTCCCGTTCATTGTCTTCCGCTTATCACCCTGCCTACCACCAAGCTCGCACGAACTGTCATTCTTCTATCAGGTGTAGCGTCATGCACGTTATCTTTCTTCACCTATCAAACAGTAAAGAAATAGAAATGTTCCACCATTAGATTTGTCTTTAATATGGTTTACTAAAACAACATTCGAAAAGGGCAATTACTAGTCTTTCGTCTGCCATTAGTATGTCTACGTTATTCATTGTGGTCAATTGTTCTTCAATATAATTTTAATATCAAGCATTAAGAAAAAAATACTAAAATTAAAATATGTTGATGCATGACAGGGACAGGACGCTTAGGGTTACTTCTGCCTTCAATACATATTGTCTCATTAGGTATCAGGCCTGTTCCCCCCTGCCTATTGCCCCCTGGCCTGTTTCCCAACTACCCCGAGAATGGATTAATGTATTTAAAATACAAATACCAACGTTTACCAATTTGATGCCCAGCTTACAATACACTGTCACTGAATGTATTAAATTCGGTTCGAAATTAGTTTAAACATACATTAGCTTGCTTGCGACAAGTATCGTATGTCGTATGTCGTATATATTATAATACCACACAGATGTACAACAGACGGAGTATACAGCAAGTGTGAGTAATTGATTGAGTTTACGCCACTTCTAGCAATATTTCAGCAATATCATGGCGGGGACACCAGAAATGGGTTTTACACAATGACCTCAGGTGGGGAATCGAAACCGGGCCTTAGGTTTAAAGAGCGATCGCTTTGACTACAAGCTTACCCCACACCAAGTGTCAGTGCTTGCAAAACTGTCTTCACTTGCAATTGGTTTATAAAAACAAGTATTTTTCTGGAAATCCATGTAAGAGTACAACAATAATAATCATGACTGAATGTTAATATATTCGTATTCAAATGAGTTGAGATATGGACATTGTTGTACATATTTTCCAGAGAGATGGTTTGATGAATGGACATACCAATATGACTATAAATGATGTCTTCCTACCTACCTTCTGTACCTGCTTACTATTACATCCTACCAAATTACGTCAACGTTTGCATTGTACCTGACCCCCAATCTATTTTCCTAAACTACTCTTCAATTCTACGTGCCTTCCCACCTCTGATTCAAAAGCCGTATCTCTATTTCTGGTACTCACAAAATTGGATTAAATATGTTAGATCTGTGATGTCGATTTAATTATACAAATATATTTGAGATGGGTCTCACATATTAAGAGAAGAAATACCCAATGAACACCTGACATAGGTGTTTTAATTCATTTACAAGCAATCCTATTTGAAAAAAAAGATATTTCTATCACAAAAACAGAACTGTTCATATTCAAACATGTGTACTGCCACAAATAAACGTCACATGTTAAATAGTATTCTGATTCTATTCAATGTGCATTTGCTTTTTTTGTTTTATTTTGTATATTGGCGTCATGTGTTCTGTTGACATACGGTATCACAATTCCCCTGTTCATCATAAATTGTGTTGTACATTGTTTGTAAAGGGATATTTACTTTCAGAACTAGCCTTCGCCGGTACATGTAGTGAGACATCCCAGTGTGACACTACCTCAGACCAAAACATAGAGTGTATTCAGACAGCAGCAGACAAGAAGTGCCTCTGTAAGGATGGATGGTATAGGCCAAATACAAGTCCAACATCTTGTGTTGAAAGTAAGTATCAAATAGTTAGCATTGTAGCCTGTAATTGGTCACCAAATTGGCCAAATAGATCATGTGCTGAATGTAAGCATCACATATCCTTGAAATAATCACCTTACTTTTAGGTATTCAATCGATTGGATGTTAATAAACATGAATGAATGAAATCTGTTCCTTGCTGGATAATAATTTCCAAATTTCCACTCACTTTATCCTCTCTGATCACTTAATTGTGTAAAACTTGTTGGAAGCCAACGGGTTAACGGTTGCCCTGCTGTAATATAGATCTTAAATATGCAAACAATCTGCCACATACTTCATAATGTTGGTTATGGGAGACTTTTTTGAAAATGGAATTAATGTTATGTATAATAAAAATGTGCTGCCGTTAGTAAATAAAGCGACAAAAAAAAAATTTCCATATCAAATAGAAATATCTGCTTAAAGCAGAGTCGATTGTGCAACGGAATGGTTCTTAATTTACACATTAAACACACTTATGTTCCGAAAATGATTATCTTCGTTAAAGAAAATTATGAAAGGAATACTCAAAACCCGGGACCATTCATTTTCGTAAATATCTATATCCCCTAAATACTGCACTTGTCACCCATGACATCAATATGAGGTGGAAACAGAGGTGTTTTGATAAAACACGGACGTATAAATCACGAATAATAGTTACTTAGGATTTGATCACTAGTTCTCTGACACTGTTCTACATGCAACTACTACAATTGCAACAATATTCGGAGCAGTGGGGTAGTTTAGTGGTTAAGTATTCGATCGTCACTCCGAAGGCCCACGTGGGTACAATGTGTTGTGCCAATTTGTGGTATCCCCGCAGTGACTCATTCACTCACTTACTCAAATGAGAATTACAAATATATTATTCTGGGACAGATGTTGACAAATAGAATGTTGAAATATCTCAACAAATAATCGTTGACTCCAGTCACATATTATGTGTATGTGCCAATAAATTAAGTTAAACTGCCAACGTCCACCAGAATCTCCAAATGCAAACTATTGTCATGAATTTGTACACCATCATAGACATGAACATGGGCCATACTGCAATCATTGTGGCTCAGTGTAATATGATTTCTGTTAGGAACAAAAACAAGTAATTACCATGTGTCAGTTAAAATATATACAAAGTGTTTTCCATGTGCGACTCATTAAAACACTTGATAGCATTTATGTTACGACACGGTGACAATTGAAAGTGAGCCCCATACTTTTGGGACCGTGTCATTACTTATATTCTACCGTATTCTTGCGCCTAAATTGAGACAGGTGTTATAGAAAAGTTACTGTGTTCTTTAGTTCAGAGATATGACTATTTGGGAAACAATAATGACATACCTCGTAAATATGAATACAGTCACTGTGCAAGATGTGCCTTGAAACTTATGCATACTTGTACATCTGTTCACCACACGACGGACATGCAATACTTACAAAGTGAAAAGATGACGCGTTTGAGTAAATGCTGGCTCTTCATCCGTTATGAAACTTTGACAACCCGATCCAAGTTTCCCTAAATGATAGGCTTGTTTGGTGAATTGCATTCATTAAAACAGGATCTGGTACTACTAGTAATGTAGAAATAAGAACACTGTCTTATCGCTGTAAGTATCTATTGGTGAATATGCAAAATTTGGCCTCTACATCTAACCTGTTCACAATCACTTTCCTTCATGGAAGCACCTTTAAGGAATGACGCTTACACAAGTAAAGCAAACCAGAATTGGCCAGATTAATTTTGATAATTATTTTGCTTCTAATTGGATATATCAATAATATTAACAGATAAGCACTTCTGTCGCATCCCGTTGTAGTACTCCGAACACAAAATACAAGTGAACAAAACGAACGATAAATCAATGTCACCAGTGAAATTTTGTCAACGAACATCAACAAAAACATGTAATTATAAGATTTGTTCGTTTAAACAAACATTCATTTCCGTGAACATGTTTGTTTTCAGCTACCCAACTAAAGCCAGCCATCTCAGACCCACCATCCATAGGGACAGGCAATATTGGCATCAGCTGGACAAATACAGTTGCCAATGGAGGGTACACATTCAACTACATGGTAGTGTGGAGTCAAGGATCTCCGGGATCACCAGGAAATGTCTCTACACAACAGACGACCTACAACATTCAGCCCCTGTCTCCAGGAACAGTGTATACAGTCACAGTCGAACTTACCATCACACAGTACGGCAGGAGTCAGACGATTACCTCGGACCAAAAACCATTTACAACAGGTGGCTAAGTTTTTATCTCTTCAATTGTTGTTTGTCATTGAATGGTATGAGATCCACGTTTTCTCGCAACGAGACATACATACAAAATGCTTTTTCTCCTCCATAAAGCCGACATTGTCTGGTTTGTTTTCAGGCCGCCATCGCATGGCAGGAGTCTTCCTATGCGGCATCAGGCAATAAATAGTACTTATTTAATGTGCATTGGGTGAATGGTGGGTACTGCTGGTAGGGCTTACCCTTTTCGCGAACACCTGGTGTCATCAGTGATTTTCCGTAGTCCGTTCATTAAATGTTCACAGCTATTTTGGCCCTGACTCCAAATGGAACCTGTTTCGGTGGATAATCTAGACTGGTTATGTTGCATTGACAATATATGTTTTAACCCACCACTGCATCTAAACCAAGTAAATATTCCTATTGCCTCTCGCCTTTTAAAGTAGAATAAGAGGACACATCTACGCATATGTTTTCAAACCTTGTTTGATGGCGGGTATTGGCAAAATTGTATTTTTAAACTGTTATCTATTGCTGTAGTACTTCATCCCTCCTGACCAAGTACAATAACGAACTAAGTTGGTCGCTACAGCATTGTCAGTCGTTGAATCACAACCAGGGAATACAGCTATTTCATTGATATTTCAGTAACAGAGTTTCCAAGACTTACCACAACTACAATGGTAACATAATTACCAAACATCATTTACACACGTATACTACCTTATATTTTTTTTCAACAGTTCCTGTTACTGAGAGTCAGCTGCTATTTCAAATACACTGTTTCCTTTCACACGCAGCTATATTGACATCACGCATAATTTTCAGAGCAAGTCTTTGGCGGAATATGCAATAACACGATCCAGTGCGACAACTCCAACCCGAACATAGTCTGTGTTCAGATAACAGGACAACCAGATGATAGATGCATCTGTCAGGGTGGGATGTATAGGCCATCATCATCATCATCTTGTGCAAACAGTAAGTACATGTATCTTATTTGAGTTACATGTATATCAGTCCCTGTCTTTACCATATCTTCAACTTGGTTGGATTGTCCGTCGTCAGTTTGTAATATATTGCTTTGAAACACATCAGTGCCAAATGAGCAATGCCCAATGTGTGGTATTAGTCCTATTTAAAAAAAGCTTAGCAACGCATAACTGATACCTTCAGCGTTGATAGGTGTCAGATCACCACTGGAGCCGAAGAGCGTTAGTTAAATTGCAGCTGTGCAAATGTTGTCTTCTCACCAGACGAGTATATTGTAGTTCCTTGCACTTTCATGATAGTATTTCACTGATACCTAACTGATTTTAAGGAGTCTGATACACCCATAACAGCAATTATATATCATTACAGTTTTGGTCTTTTTGCCTGGTTATGAAAAACAATTTCGTTTGTCGGAATTAGTCATAGAAAAAAGTGAATCTGAATGGTGTTTGTCGCGATTTGGTTTTTGGACGAAAGAACATCAAACATACCGAAATATAAAAAAAGGTGTAAACATTTATTCTCAAACATTTAAATTCCGGCTTTTTGATAAGCTGAATTGGGCATGTGTTATTGCATTCATTTCCCCAATGAATGTAAAACAGTTAGGCCACAGTCCCCAAATTGCATGTCTTCGGATTTACTTTCTAAATCGCATTGTTACGACGTAAATTGTAATAAAAAGGTAAATTGTAAAACTTGCTACAAATTGTAATAATTTTGACGTAAATTGTAATAACAACGTAAATTGTAATAAAATTTGACGTAAATTGTAATACGCAAATTGTAATAAAAATTGACGTAAATTGTAATAATCTCAACTTGCGGTAAAATGTAATAACTTTTTACGTAAATTGTAATAACCTCATACGTTTAGTGTCAAAGGCGTTAGATGACTAGAACCTATCCTTGTCAGGGTTGGTACAGGGTTTATCGTACAATCGTCATTAAAGTATGGGTATGGGAGAGGACTGAGGTCGTTATCGTACATTGTTGTATAAGTATATGTATATATAAACGCATTGGAATTTCATTTCTATGGTTGTCCAGAAGAGGATTTATTACTAGAATGAACATAGTTTTCTTAATCATTTGAGAAATACTCTGTGTGTTTTATACTTAATTTTAATATATCCTATTGACAATTTTCATCATAATTGTTCATATTTAACCTAATGGAATCATATTTCAGTTGGTAAAGTAGGTAGTAATATACACAATGGAATAATTATAACGTAACATACTTACACAAATATATTGATGTGTAAATGTGAAAAGTCTGACTTTTACTGACTGAAGCAAAAAGATTTATTTTGCAACTGTATATTTGTACATATTTTATGCGGACAGGGGTTTACTAAGTTGCAAGAACTTGTCCCCAATACAATTCTAATTTTGTTCTGTGAATAAAATATGTTTAAACTAAACTAAACTAGCAAATGGATGACATGTCATTCTGCAGTAGTCTGTGTGCAAGCTGATTTATACATTTTCATATACATAATCATTATCACTTTATCATTATTCAAGTTTCAATTTTTTCAACGTTGCTCGGAGGATGTAAAGCAAATAATGACAATGTCCTGGGCGATGTACATGTAGGTATGTGAACCCGCAAGGACTACCTTTATCAATTATTTTACGTGCAGCTTGTGTCATGTCTGTATTGTTAGAATGATACTCTAGCAACTGTACACATCGAAATTTATGACTGAAAGATCCATCCTCGGGTTAAAAATGATGGATTACATTAGGTACGTCTATTCGACAAATAGGTTAATTGATTTATCATCCAATAGTAGCTTAGCTAGGGGTTATATCCCATTAGTTAGACATCCCATTAGTTAGACGTCCCAATTGTTAGACAGGTTTATTTGGGCAAAGAGGGAATATACCTACAGGTGTAATGGATCAGTCCTAATTAGATTAAAGTACTGGGTAGGGAAAGGGGACTCACAGTTTAGGGAGTATATATGTTATAATTTCGTTTAATTAACCTAAAAATTACCTTACTCTCAGCACAGGTTCAATAGGCATGAGATTAACTATGTAAACTATGGAGTAGCTTAATTGTCTTACTGTATGATCAGTTGAAGGAGTTGAGTTTAGATTATCTACTCATAATAAATGATCTTGGGGTACGTATCGTTATCAGTATCGATATGGCTGGTTTAAGGAAAGTAGAGTATCTCACCTCTCGGCGTGGAAGTGTCATTAAATGTTAAGTATAATATTAAAGTATCTATTTAAAGCTGCTTTGCTTTGTTTGTCCAATCTGGACTATTCCATTTTAAAGTCTGAGGTAACAAGCATAAGGATTAGTGTGCACTCAACCGTTTAAAGTGTTGTTATAAGCTGTCTAACTATTGGGACGTCTAACTAATGGGAGGACACCTAGCTAGGAGTCCATTGCAATAACATTGAGTTACGAGTTACCGAAGAGAGCTCTGTGCAACCGGACCCTGAAATTTTGTCGATTTGCATTGGAGGTTTACTTAAGTTGATAAGGAGCACATGACCGGAAACAAACGAGACAATTCAATCGTATTTTATACATTATATTTGGATGAAGAATTCAAATACAACAAATGAGTGATAGATCTCCTGTGCAATGTCAAAGAGAATAAAACAGTCCTCAGCTAATGCAGCATAGATTTCCCATGCATGGAAAAGGAGAATACTTAATACATAACATTATATACAATGGTTTTATTAATATCAAAAGAGGGGCGTGGATATTCTTTACCTACATTGCATATATCATTAGATATTGTGTATTCTCGATCTCTGTGAAAGAAATAATAATGAATAAATGCAAACCATGTTAACTTATGCAATATTTGTAGCAATGTATGATTAACATATGGATCATTAATATAACATAAAATATTTCCTTTCATAGGAAGAAGTATATTTAATGAAATAAATGAATAAATGTAACTGTCTGGACTCCTTTCATATGTCATGAAAAACTAACAACAACTTACTGACAACTTTTGCTGGGATAATAACTTCTCGCCCCAACAACAAAAACAGAATCCATCATGATAACGGCACGAAATCATAATTCAAAGCATACACAAATAATATCCGGTATCTTCGGGCATGTCTTGTTGAGTTTCAAAGAGCATCAGAATGTATAATAAATTTGTTGCAATCAATTATTGCTGAAATATATCTGTTTTGATCAAAATTGAGGGGATGGAAAATCTATAATGAAAAGGGTTTTGTCACTAACGTAAATATTCTCTTTGACCTTATACGAAGAGTAGTCTAAGATCATTAAACTCGGCAATCGTTGGTGGATTGCGCCAAGCAACCTTGATACCAAATTTGGTACCTCACGTATAATGCGGTACATAATTTTCGAAACAGATAATTACGTTTTTCATAAGTTATCACTAATTTGTGACATATATACGGACAAAAATTACCTCAGAGGATAATCTTCTCTGAGGGTTTAAGAGGATTAAAATAATTCCAGCTAACATCAAGCACTGTAATAAAATATTGAAATTATAGCATACCTTCTTAACATTCCAATGAAAAGAATAGTGACTAACAAAGAAACCAAATTATATTTATCTCCGATACAAAGCCCTCATCAGTACACACACACACACACACACACACACACACACACACACACATACACACCAACACACATACATACATACATACATACAAACACATACACACATAGGTATGTATGTATGTGTGTGTTTGTGTGTGTGTGTTTGTGTGTGTGTGTGTGTGTGTATGTGTGTGTGTGTGTGTGTGTGTGTGTGTGTGTGTGTGTGTGTGTGTGTGTGTGTGTGTGTGTGTGTGTGTGTGTGTGTGTGTGTGTGTGTTGGTGTGTATATGTGTGTTTGTGTGTATGTGTGTGTGTGTGTGTGTATACATGTATGCCAGTAAATACGACCTCTATATGTCATTGGTATCAGATCTCTGACTGCACTTCTACATATAGTTCCAAGTGAAGGATGAGTGACACTACTTTGTGAGAGGTCCCACAAAAATGCTGATATGAGCAATTGAAGGTTATACAAAATGTAACAAATGAACCAAGTAAGATATTTTAAAAGATATAATAGAAACAAAAACCTGTAGATATACGAATTAGAATGTAGCAAATGCATTAGATAAACGTATCTTCTACGTAGATAAAAGTATGTCCAACGAAGACATAAGTATATTCTTCGTAGATAATACGTTTTTCATTTTTTATCACTAATTTGAGACGGACAATAATCCCCTGAAAGCATAACCTCCTCTTGGGGTTTAAGAGGATTAAAGTAATTCCAACAAACAACAAGCACTGTAATGAAATTACAACATACTTTGTTAAAATTCTGATGAAAAGACTAGTAACTATCTAAGAAACCAAATCATACTGTTGCTGCGATACTTGGGCCTCATCAGCATAGACACACAAACAAAAACATACACACACGCACACGCACTTACACACACATACATTCACACACACACACACACGCACACGCACACACACACACACACACACACACACACAGATACAGACACAAACACGTGTTGCACACACTACATACCAATACAAAAACACCCCCACACAAACACTATGTATGTATGTATGTATGTATGTATGTATGTATGTATGTATGTATGTATGTATGTATGTATGTATGTATGTATGTGTGTGCGTGTGTGCGCATGTAGGTGTGTATGTAATCACAGTAAATGTGAGCTCTATGTCATTGGTATCACATATATGACTGCACTTCTACATACTCTAGATGACAGTATCATGTACGTAGATGAAAGTATGTAAGTGGACGATAGTATCTAGTGTTTTCAGGGGATTATTGTTCGTATATATTTCGTATCAAGGTTTCTTGGCGCATTCCACCAACGATTGTCGAGTTTAATGATCTTCAAGTACGTTTCAAGGTCAAAGAGAAAATTTACTTTAGTGACAAACATATTTTCATTAAAAATTTTCAATTCCT